CTAATAAGAGGCGCTTTTGGAGGCAATACTATCTGAGTACTCGCTCACCTTGGAGGGTCTCAGCTTAACCTGGACAGGAGGCAGCCTTGTCAGCCCACTAGGAAAGCTGCTCTCACAGCCTTTAACCTGAGCACAGCCCAGCTTTCCTGGAGCTGCATGGTTAGTTTAGCTTTCTTGTAAGACCCCAGCCCCTCTACAGCTGCTCCTCATCACTTCACAGCAGAAATGAGCAGCTCTGCACCCAGCAACACAAGCTGGGTTGTGAGCTTGTCAGGGAGCTCAGCACCCTGACAAGGTGACACCAGGGCCACCAGGCTCTGCACTGCCAGACAAGACAAGGACCCAGGGCCTGAGGAAGGGGAGAGCATCCACACAAGTCCCTGCTGCCTCACAGCCACCTCTCCACATCCCCTGCAGGAGGGACTTTTGCAGAGACTCATGGTGTGGAAGAGCTCCAGCGCATGTCTGCTGTGCTGCATCTCCACCAGCTCAGTGGACTGACAGACACTTTACCTATAAGAAGTATATTAAAAACAAACAAACAACCCAGTTCCACCTCTCCACACCACAGGCCCAATCTGCAACACCAGCAAATCCCCAAGCCCCTGCTCCAAGCTCACCTCCTGCATCCCTCTCCTAAGCAAAGGAGCTCTTAGTTCCACACTGCTCCCAGCTGCTGCATCAAGCTACAGGGGCCAAAGCAGCTCTCTTTCCTGCAAGGCTTTTATTTGCTTGCAGCATATCTGCCTTATTAATGACCCTGCCCTCCTAACTACCTTTTATTTCTTTATTGGCATCACATGTCTCACCTGGCACTCTGGAGCTGTTCCCCTTAAAGGAGCAAACCAGAGCAGAATGGGCTGAAAAAGGCAATAAGGGAGTGTGCTTGTCCTGACAGAAGTGTGTTCTGGTCCAAACCACCATCCTGGTAAAATGTTCCTTGCCCCAAATTATGCAGATGTTAGAGTTCCTTAATGAAACAGCTGAGATATTTTTAACATGGTCAAAAAACCTATTTTGTCTTGACCTTCAGCTCAGAAATAGCTGCACCATTTTTTTTTTCCCAAACACTTCCAAAAAATGACTGAATTAAGCAGACGCCCCATGCTCAATTCCAGCCTCAATATTGAAAATTTGGTATCACATAACTCGGTGAAGAAAGGGTCACTCGACTGAAGATGTCACTGTTCCCAACATCCAGGTCCCTCTGTAGTAATAACATGAGTAGGGCCTCAGCTGTGCAACTCATACAAGGTGCCAGAAACAGTGCAAGGCCAATAAAAGTGTAATATTCCCATTTCCCTCTTCTTGCAGTCTCCTGCACCAGAACGAACACGCTCAGATGAACTTCCTAGAGCCGAGCAGACCTCATCATCAGGCACTGATGAGTTAAATGTTACCTATGGGACGCAGCACTGATTCCCCTAAAGCTGCTGGCTAAATGTATGTGGTAAAACACACAGAGTGGTACAGGGGGATCTCTGCAGCTGGGTTATTTTGTCTAGCTGGCTTTTGCAAATGGGTTATTTACCCCCTCACCAAGTTTAATTTGTTAAGTTTCATCACCCAAGTTGTGCTGATGGGATGCATGACTGCTGCCACGTATTGCAGACACATATATAGCGTAGTGCAGGATCCGTGCAAGCTTTGAATGCAGGTGAATTTGTGAATACAGGTCACAGTGTGCAAAACTGCAGCATTTTTGAAGTCAAGGGTGGTGCCTGTGAACTCCAGCTGTTGATAAGGGGCTGATAAAATATTCCTATTATATTTTCATGCCGCTGGAAGGGGCGCGGGTGGGAGCAGGGAGCCGCAGGCCAGGGGACAGGCGCCCGCCCGCCC